AGGAGAGTGTGCAGGTCAAAACTAAAATGTACAAAAATAGAAAGGAATCTGAATAGTACAGTGGATTGAGATGAAACATCATCAATAGTATCATACGGCTGCAATGGAAGGAAGAGAACGCAAACTTCACAGGGAGGTGTGGAAGTGAGAGTGTTTCTTGGCAGGTATATGAGGGAATCCTTCATTCTGCTTGGCACTGACACATATGCGTCAGACCACTGTGTCCAGTGCTGGGCACCATATTTTAAGAGTTACGAGCAAACCTGGGTGTTCAGAACTGAGCAATAAGGACAAAAAGGTCCAACAATCAGGACTTACGCAGGTTAAATGGTCAGTCTATGGAAATCACATAAGGTTACAGAGGTCATACATGTACAGGGTAGCTGCCAACAGGAAAGGAATAATCTGATCTTTGTGCCAGATACAAAGAGGAACAGCAAGACAAAGCTTTATTTGGAGCTTCAATGATCAGGGTTTGATGGTAAGTTTTCTGACAGTAAGACAATTACTCACTTTGCCTAACAAGGTTGTAGAACCTCCAGTATCAGATTTTTTTAAAACCAGGCTAGACGCATGTCTGTAACAACAACTGAGGAAGTACTTATGTGGCCCTTCAACAAGGAAGGCAGGTTCTGTAGCCCAGCCCACATTGCTCCATTCAGCAACTTCAAACATATGATTTCATTTATTTACTTAAAAAAGCTCCTGTGCTTACCTGATCTATCAGGAAGGAATCTTACTTCTATTCAACATAACTTATTTCGCTTTTTAAAGACCTTCTGAAATTAATTCCTACTTCTCAATTAAAATAAGACTGAAACATACAGCAAAGAGTTCAGAAAGATAAAGCTTTTTGCAGACTATTACCCTCTGCACTGTTTCTCTCACAAAGACACACCTGTTACACATTAATTTCTGGCCCGAGTACTTTTAGAAATACCTCTCATGTTTTCATAGTGTTTAACATGCAGCTCCTCACACATTTCATTAGCCTGGACTCTTTAAGATGGCTTTTCCCCTGCTAGGCATTTGAATTTCTGACCTCCTGTAAAGTTCAAGTCTGCCTCTTCCCCTTTTCTCATTCCCTGCTGCACTCCTACAGAACCCACTGCCCAGGTGTGATACCTCTTATGGGTTATCCGCTTTAAGCGGGTGAGGCTCTTCAACTCACTGCTGCGGCACACCACGGTCTGCCAGGGGGCCCGCGAAGCCACCACGCTGCCCTCGCGAAGTACCGACAGGAAGAGGACGCGGTACTGGGGCGGACAGCACCGCCCTCTGCCTCCCGCGCGTCCCCACTGAGCCCGAAGAAGGGCCGGCCCGCTCCGGCCTCTGCAGCACCGGAGCGGCCGGGAGACCGCCGCAGGGCAAGGGCGGGCACCGGGCAGCCCCCGCGCGGCTCAGGCTTACAAACGCCGGTTGTGGCGAACCGCCGGGCACCAGACCGGCCTCCAGCTCCCACCGAGGCGCACGGCGGCGACCAGCCAGGGGTGCCCGGGGCGCCTGGGGCGGGGGGAAGCCCCGGTGATAGGAGGCCAGACGAAGCGCCGCTGCCGGAGCCCTCGCGGCCTGCGGCGGTGCCCAGTCACGGCCCTGACTCAGCGAAACCCCATCGGGGAACGCTACCCCACGCCGCTCCCTCACCGGCCGAGGTGATCATGGTGCCGCCCGCCCGGCCCAGGTACGGAGGGAGGTAGGGTCCACTCCGGCCCAGGTGCGGTGGTGCTACCGCCGGGGTCCGCGCCGCTGAAGCTCCGCCGCCGCCGCCCGGCCCGGAAGTGCCGCGAAGGGCCCCTTCCGGCAGGACTCCGGTGCTCTCGGGAAGGGTGCCTGTGGCGAGCGCCTGCGCCGGGCGGTGAAAAAGCAGCCCGGCGCGGGCGGGACAGCTCTGCTTCCCGGGGTCTCGCAGTTTGCGTTAGCCCGCTCGGAGGCGCGCCGCTGCCGTGTACCCCGCCGATCCTACGCACCCCACGGGAGACTTCACAGTCTCCCCCCCCCCAAGGGCTGTAGGATCCCCACGGGTGACCCCGCGAATGCCCACGTTTGCGTTGTGATCAAATGGCTGCCTCTGTCTGACCCGTACAGATGGCATCTCCCACATGCTCGCAGTGGGGTGGCATGTTTCGGCGCACAGGCATTGCCCACCTCTTGCAGGCTGCCTCTCTAGGCCCTGACTCTTCTCACATACCTTATAGCGTTGAGGAAAGGCTTCACCCAAACCCATTCCCCCTTGCAAAGGAAAGCACATGTACTGATGCACCCGACAAGCCCTAACCAGAACATTTTCCTTGTTATCGCTCGGCAGCACAGGGTGGTGTCCAGATCTCCCACGCACAGGTGTACCTGAAGGTCCCCCAGTTGCGGAGGAACATGGAGTTATTTCAGCTCCTATTTTGGTTCCAGTAGAGGCAGGTGGGAAAAAATCAGGCTTGTGGAGTTTTCCTTTCACCAAGGAAAGCCCAGCTCAGCAGCAATGGTGCTGCACAAGAGATCGAAGCACCCAGACTTCAGCAGCATTGATTTCTACCTGTTTCTGCTAAATAGGAAAAAATACTTTATGAAGGACTTTAATTCCTGAAGGAAACCTTACGGCCTCAGTTAATGAATGTTATTAATGACATAACAAATGACAAAGCCCTACTCATGATGCCGAGAGGGTCAGCTCTGCTCTTCTCAGAAAACAGAAGATCTCCAGCTTTCCCCACTGCCCACAGGTGAGCAGCCTACTTGAGCTCCACACAGACCAATTCTGATGATCTTCTGGATCCATATACTGGGGCCACTTCCAGTCCCTCCCAATACATCTTTTATTTAAATCAAGAGAAACATCAGTCAAACCACACATAATGCTGCTTTACGGATAACACCATGGCAAACAAAAACCAAACTGAAGCACGTTCCAGTTCAGAAATTAAATGTCTTTATTTTTACAGCAATCCTGTAAGATCACAGTGCCCTTCAGTTATTAAATCAACTAAACATGAGAGAGTATCTGCTGCACCTCCACATGCCCAGCTATTAAGAAAAAAAAAGGAAAAGAAAAAAAAAAATTTAAAATTCAAGTCACTTTTATTCCTCAGTCAAAGGAAAACAATACTTTTGATCAGCTGTATTCTCACACCTTCTAAACCCCACACAGTTCATCCACTTCCACAAAAGTCTCACTGCAAGGGTAAACTTGCATGATTTACTTAAAAATTACCAATAAATAAATCCATTGGATTTGTAGCACTAAGATATGTTTAACTGCAAGTCTCTTGGGCAACCTCTTCACTCATAAATTCTAACTGTCAAAGGCCAAATACTGCAAGAAAACAAAGATTCACTTGACATACTGTGAAGTCCTACTGGACTCACCTAACCAAAGAAAGTATGTAACTGCGCAGCGACCTGGGCTCTACTGTGAATACAAGCAGAGGGAATCTATCACATAGCACACATATGCACTCATGCCAGGGAAAGAGCAGGATACCTTCATCTTGCTAAGATGCACTCACTATTAGGTGCTGAAGCCCAGAGTCATAAACACAGCCACCCACATCGCGTGACTTTATTGAGTCACTTGGTTACATTTCTATTTTCCACCTGGTTGTAAGCAAAGAAATCCTACAGAATCCTGCAGGCTGGAAGGAGAGCTGGTTTTGGTGCCACCTCTGCTGACATCAGCTGCCTCCTAGGTTCGCTCTCTCCAACACATACCCACACAGGAAAGTGTTTCTGCTGTGAAGAGATGTGACACACACTTCTCCAAATGCTTGGCATCCACCTGCCCCTTCCCACCGCCTTATGGCAGCAACAGCATGTTACAGCTGCATTTCAGGTGAAGCTTTCCTAGGTAGACCAAACTTTCCTATGTAACCAATCCTAACTGTCACAACACATTCAAACAAGCAGCATGATAATGCAGAGACTTGCTGAGCACACCTGGAAATGCTCCCCATCTCTCCCACTCGACGCTACCAACATGTTCCAGGCACCCTTCATTGCTCTCTCCCAGCCAAAAGGGCAAAGCAGCACCATGACTAAAGGGACCAACTGTAAACGCAAGAGCTGCTAAGCTCTGCTCCAGCATCACCATCGTAGCACCAGAGAGGTAGGTAGGCACTGCTGTCCCCATCCTACTGGTGAGGAAACTGAAGCACAGAAAAATGGTTTATTGAAAAATGTTGATGATCATGGTGATAGGCAGAGCTGGGTACAAAACCCATCCCCTGCTCCAGGTAGAGCTAGGGAGATGCCAAAGGCACACAGCTGGCCAGAGCTGGCAGGACTGCAGACACTTCAGTTGCCACTGTGAAAGAAGGACCCAGAGAGAGAACAGACATGTAATGAGAACGTACTGATGTAATTCAGCAGCTAACTCAGAGGAGAGGTAGGCAAGAGGTGACAGGCTGAAGTTTCTGGTCTGAGCTAATTGCAACTCCAAAAGGACAGCTAGCCCCAAACAAAACCCAGAGTTTGTGCTAAAATTATACAAGATGTGTTTTATGTTGCATTTAAGTAAGAACAAAAAAGGTATTCTTAGCATTATAGTAATACTCCTCATAAACCAAGGATTTGTAATTAATTGCGTTGCCCCACAGGCTACAAGCAGCCTTTTGGAACAACTTAAATAGATTATTTTTCTATTTTTATATTTATTTATGAAGCAGCCAGTTTCTTGTGCTTCAGGCCACTTCCAAGACCTGCTACCACATGGCTGTGGAGATGTCCAAAGTAAGATGCGCCTCTCCCATAACCCCATCAAGCATCAGTCACACCTTAGTGTCCATCTGCCACCCACTCCAACCCAGGCAAACCATCAGTCAGTCTGTGAGCACCAAGCACAAGCCAGAGGGATGGATCCTGCTTCCAAATCACACTTTGCTCCATCTGCCCTTACTATCAGGATCTTCTGAGTTATTCTTACTGCCCAGTGGGCTGTTACTGCATTCTTCGTATTATACAGTCACATTCAAGCCTCTTCTATAGCCATTGCAAGTCTCCACACCACCATGCTATTTGTCTTCTTTTTTTTTTTTTTTTTTCCTGATCAGAGAAAGGGTGGGAACTTCCAGCAGCAGCTCCAGGCATCCCCTGGCAGCACGTGTTGGCTCTCTGGCATACACATCAGGCTGTTGGGAGCTACAAAAGACCCTGGGAGTTAAGCTGAGCAGCTTCTCTCATTAGCGGTGGGTCCTCAGAGGAGAAGGTGAGTGGGCATGCACTAGCTTCTCCTCCCACTGCTCCAAATCCACTGGGCAGATCAAGGACATGGACTATGTTAAGCACGCAGCAGTTCTAAGTGCCTGTGCCTCCAGCAGCTTCTTCGTAGTTTCCATTGGGGGACAGGCTGGTTAGAGCCACTTCTTCTTCAGGGTCCTGCAGATCATCTGCAAAGAGCAGAGTGAGGTCAAGGGAGATCTAAATGGGAAACCTTTATTAAGGCAAAATGCAACTTAAGATGAAAAGAACACATGGGACAAAGCCATTGATATATACTCACAACCTACACACAGCTGATTTTTTTCATAACTGATTTTCATTTTGGTTTACAAACTCCACATTGCTTCCACAAATGGGTTATCTATGAGCAAAGGAGCTCACTGCCCAGCTCCCTGGCAGTGCTGTCAGGGGTGTAGTTGGGCACTGGACCTCACGTGATTCATTTAGACACACAAAAGGCCAGAAAACAGGGAGATGGCAACATAGCAGCCACATGTGCACAAGTTGTCTTCAGTTTCTGGCCAAACTACAGCCAGGAAAGAGACATCAGCTGCAGACCTGGAAATAGTTTCAGGAGGCCACCAGCAACAGGTTTGGCCAATCAGGACAACCAAGGAGTCAGTGAGGAACCTGACAGTCACAGCAGGAGTACAAGTGAGGGAGCTGCACATACCTTCATGAATGTTGTTTGCAGCTTTTGCGTTGTGATCTTTTCTCCAACTCCTCCGGCTCCAAGAAACGCACCGCAGGAAGGATGGGAGCCTCCACCTCTCCCTGTCTTTCACCTCTTCTGGATAAATGAGAGAAGATGAGTTCAGACCAACAGCAGGTCAGCCCTACTGCTTCTCCACCTCCCTGGTGCAGACTCACCACATCTCCCCTCGTCAAGCCCAATGCTTCATGGAAAAACCGGGTGCACTCCACAGAGCCCACCCCTAGAAAGCAGCTGCTGGCAATCCTTATTTCAGGCAGACATATCTCTGCTACCATCGAAATCTGTCCCCAGAGTCAGTTTCTACCTTGCTACGTCACTAACAAAACCATCCTGAATGCAGCAGCCCAGAGCAAAAACCTGGCAGGAGCTCAGCAGGCACACAGTGGGGACTGGCACAGTTAGGGCACTCCTGCATAAGGAAGTTTTTCTTTTGTATTATCACACACCTTTTGCCACATCAGCCTATTCACTGCTCCCTGCTTTATTAAGCAATTCCTCCCTTCTAGGAAGACCTACTGAACAAGCAGACTTGCAACACACTGAAAGCTACTGCTGTAACTGCTTGCAAAATGCAAAGAGCATGTAGCCTCCATCGATGTATTTATTCTGGAGGACAATGAAGATCACAAGTTACTACAGGCTTTCAAGCCATTACAGTAAAACACTGCACCAGGTCTCCAACAGCAGCAGTTTCCATTGAAATATGATAGGAGCCTTTCACCTCCTAATCAGACAACAAATTATAAACCACTTCAGTGTCCTTCAGCTTATCAAACCGTTGCGACATGAGAGGGTTCACAGTGGCAGTCTTTCCTGCCAGTCAATAAACCAAAACCTCCAGCTGTAAAGACATCCTCTCCTCACAGTGTATGGGGACTCTGGCCACCATTGAAACATGGCAGAAGAGCAGCCCAATACACTCCTGCTTAGACCCAAGAGATACAGGAACCCCACTGCCATTCCTGTCCCAGATCCACTGCATAAATGACAGTGTCCAGGACATTCCCAGCACAGGGAGGAGGGCTGCAGCTTCAGAGCAACTGTCTTAGGCAGAGCTGAGCAGCAGTGTGGGTAGAAGAGTAAGCTAGGCTGAAATAAAACAGGCATAAGCACAGGTACACGGAGCCTTACATTCTATACACCTAGCAGCATCCTTATCCAGATGCATCTGAATAAGCCCTTTTTTCAGCTTAGCACAAGCCCCTTTGAAAGTCAAGAGGGAAAAAAGACAAGCTCAGCACTGACTGAGGACATCCTTAAGGTGGCATCCCTAGAACCTGCCTTGCAGGGTGCTCTGGAGCCCACGCCTATCTCTTCCACAGTCCTCCCTCACATTACATTAAATATATTATTCCCCTTGTGCCTTGCTTGTGGGGAAAGCCACGGGTGGAAAGAGAGCAGGCTGCAATGAAGCTGGTGCCTGGCACTGCCAGGTCCCCACCTCCCTGGAGGCCACATTTGAGATCCCTCTGGCCATATGGAGATTTTAGAAGTTAGGGCTCACAGGGGCATGGAAAGAAGCTACCCTTGCCTAAGGTTGAACCCTAAAGCTGATGAGTGTCCTCATTACACATGCAAGTCCTTAGACACTTACATGACCAGGCAGAGCATTGGCAGAGAACTAAAGCAACACACTGAGTCCTTCTACCCACCATGCTTATAAAGCACACACAAACAGGCTTCAATACCTGCTCCAGCTCCTGTTCCTCTTTCTCTACAGGTGACTGCTATGCTGCTTCCATGTCTGTCTGAAGGACAAATCCACAGCTAGCCACAAAAATACATTCTGAGCCAAGCACCAGCAATGTGCAGAGGTAGAGAAAGGTCACACATGCAGGGATGTTTTTCTGCCTCTGCAGCTGCTGTCCCAACCAGGCTGCTGTGTCCAGAAATGAAGGGCTCACTGCTATCTGGGAGAACAACAGAAATTCTTGCAGTAGGAGCAATGTGAGGAAGACAAAAGCATGTGAAAAAAGATGGAAAGGGGATCATGCATACTTCCATAGAAAGAGTTGGCAGAAGACAACCCTGAACCCTCGCAGTGAGTCCCAACCACTTCAAAGCTACTCAACATTCAGATCCAGGATTCTGGACTGAGCAGATGGAAAGAAGCACCTGAGCTGCTGCTGACCATCCCCATGTCCCAGGCATCCTAGAGGACCTGGGCAATGTGGTGCTGCAGGCAAGTGCGAGGATTCCTTGGGGTAAAGGCGGTGAGACAGCAAAGCACCTAGAAATGATGGGGAGCAAGGGAAAACTGGGGAAAAAAAGTGAAAGAAGGAAGTAAGAAAGAGAAACAGTCCAAGACAAGCAGTGCCAAAGATTAAAGTGAACCCAGGCAAGTTTGTGTGGCTGCTATGACAGCAGAGCCTGCCCAGCTGCCCATCACCCTGAGTTTGCACACAAACATGACTCACATTTCACCCCAGGGCAAATGCTGTTCCTCAAAGCCCTGCTTAACACCAGCTTTCATCCTGCCATGCTCACCTTGCTTAAACTGACCACCACCAGATGCGAACACTTACTGTTCTTATTCATTATGTAAAGTCAGCACGAGCATCTTCCCTCCTGCAGGAAGGTCAGGACCTGCCTGCACCCTACAGCAAGGGCCACACCCCAGTCCTGCATCCCCAGGAACACACATCCATAAGCATGGATGGCCCATGGTGTCACAGCCATAAGCTGCCACATCCCTGCTATCTGTGATGCCTGCTATGTGCTCTAGCGCTTCCCAACCTGCTGGGAAGTTTGTCCTCCCCAGCTGCCAGGGCTGGGAAGTCAACCAGAAAGAGACATTGGGAAGGCTCTGATCCCACCAGCATGAAAGAGAATTCACTGGGAAAAGCAGATGTGACTGGGTGGGTGGAAGATCCTATGAGGGCTGATTACATTCCAATGGGAAAAGCCAGATCCCACTGTGGGGAAGGAAGATCCCATCAGGAGTGGTAAGATCCCGTTAGGATGGGGTAGATCCCACCGGGAAATGGAACAAATCCAACTGTAAAAGGCCCGCCCCCAGTGTAAAGCCACCCGCTGTCCCCCGGCCGGTCCCCCCCAAGTACCTGAGGGGTGCTGCAGAGCGGCCCGCAGGGCGCGGCAGGCGGCGGCGCGGCAGTCGCGCAGGTCTGAGGGGCTGCCGGGGCTGTACCGGGCTGCCTGCACCGTGCCGGGCGCCGGGAAGTGCCGCCGCAGCGTGGCGTCCAGCACCGCCGCGTCCTCCGCTTCCCCGCAAGGCAGGAGAACACCGACAACGGCGGGCGGCGGCTCTGGGGGCAGGCGGCCGCGCACATCGCGCACCACCTCCCGCAGGCGGACCCGGGCCCCTTGGCCCCGCGCCGCCCCGCCGCGGCACAGCACCAGCAGCAGCCTCGCTCCCAGCGCCCGCCGCCCGCAGACAACCCGCCGCCGCGACTGGCAGCCCTGCCCCGGCGGAGCCTCCTCCCCCAGGAGGTCGCGGGCGAAGGCGGTCAACGTGGCTGCTGCCGGGGCCCCCTCTGCCACCTCGGCCACCAGCAGCACTGCCCGCCGGCCACCCGCCAGCTCCACCAGCGCCCGCAACTCCTGAAGCTCCTCCGCCGCCATCCCCACCGCTGCAGCGCACCCTGCCCGGTCCCGCACCGTCCCCGGGACCGCACCACCCCCGGCCCCGCCCCCCGGCTCCGCTCACCACTCCCTCGCACCCTGCATCACTCCCGGCCCCGTGCCCGGGCACCATCTCTTCAGCCCCCGAGCCAAGCACCACCCGTGAATCCCCCCACACACCTCCCCGCCCCATGAGAGGCGTCCCCCAGCATCTCCGGCAGCGTCCCGGGACCGGCACAGCCCCTCCAGTGAACAGCCCGTGCTGCTGCCGGGTGGGCAGAACAGAGAGGGTACTGGAGGGGAACTGGGGCCCCCATATCTGCCACACAACCAACCTCAGAGCCCTTGCACGGGCCTCTTGCGAGGCTGGTCTTGTTTCCAATGGGGAGGTGATAAACTTCAGGCAAAAAAAGTGCTGTGGAGAGGCTGGGAAGCTGAGAGAGGGATGAGCAGAAGCTGTAGTGACTGCAAAGTGGGGTACACACAAGGCCACAATAGAGGAGCAGCTGATTGTGCAGCCCCGAGGGTATAACGTGCTCACCAGGGTATAACAGGCCTTACCCCAGGGCAGTGCTGGAGTGGCCTCCCTGGTGTCACATGTCATTACGCTGCTGCACAGCCTGGCCAGGCTACAGCCACATTTGGGAAAAAATTTCACTTTGGGAAACAATTACCCCTTCACAGACCATACCCACCCCACTGGTCACAAGTTCCCCAATTTGTGCACAAGTGCACAGCTGAGCTGCAGCCCTCACCCCACACTCTGCAACTCCAAGTCCCTTCTTAAGCCAGTCTCCTTTGGCTTCCCCTCTGCAAATCTATCACTCTCCACGCAAAACACAGTCCATAGTCACAGCCACCAGCACTGGCAGTGCTCCACAGTGACACACATATCCCATCAAAGCATATAATGCTTGCAGGAAGCTATAATCAGGGCTTGGGTGCTGGCATGTGTTACACAGCCCCAGCACAGAGAAGGGTCCATATCCCATGAGCTGGCTCTGCTAGCCAACAGTGAATGACAACCACATCAGAGCAGTGCCGACCCCTGATACTTGTGTGGTGTTGGTGTGTCTGTCATATAAACCAGGAAGCTCCAGTCTATGGTACCTGTTAAATACTTCCCCTGTGCCATATCAGAACAGGATCTACCAAACAGCTCGTCCTACCACAAGAACCCAGGAAGGGATAAACAGCTCAAAGGAGTCACCTTGGGCAGTTGCTCTTTGAGGCCATTTGGAGCCAAACCATCTCTGTGGGATAGGCAGAGTTGGCTCTAAGAGCATGGCAGGCAAAAGCAGAGCTGAAATCCATGTGCCTGCCCTGTATCAGTGGTTCCCAGCAGCACACTGGGCCACACTCATGCCACAAAGGCAGCTGAGCCAGCATGCCTGCTTCCTGCCCATACTCATGGCCACTCTTCCCCAGAGCCCTGCAGATCAGCAGGCACTACATGTGGGATGTGCCACAGGCTGGTGCTCAGGCACAGCGGAGGTGTGTCAGGTTGGGAAGATCGCTGTTTGCCACCAATTTTCATCCAGGAAAATATTTTCCCCAGCTATGACAGACAGGCTTAGCAAACACTGCCCCCCATGCCAGCATCACTGGCGCCAGACAGCACAGGCAAGGGCTTCAGAGAGACTTTCTGTCCTGGGTCCTTGCAAAAGCAACTTGCTCATTGACAACTGCTGATAAGCAAATCAGGGGGAGATAAAATAGAAGGATTAGTCTTCTCTTCCAAAGATCAGGGTCTATTGTTGCAAGAGCCTATGCTACCATGCCAGGTAGCCCTGAGAGCAGCTGTCAATATGGCAGGGCTACAAAGTCAGGCATAATTCAACAGCCAGGTCTGGTTATAGTGTTGCCCAGATTTTGTATTTATGAGGAAATTTTTTACTCATCTGTTCAGAGTCCTGCTTCTGTGGAGAAAATCCCTGGGTGTAACCAGCACTATGAGCAGCACCTGGAGGGGACAGGAGCAGGTGCTGGTCCACAGGAAGCCCTCATCTTGGGGTTTCTCTGCAGATACTCTACCCCACTACAGAATTGTGGCTGCAGACATAGACTGGATCATAAGCAAGTCACAACCAGAAAGTCTCTGGGAAAAGGAACCAGCAGCTTTGGCTGCTCCGTGCAAAGAACAAACCAAAGACAGACACTTGCTTTGGCCAGTTTGACTGCAAAAGGCCAGGTCTCTTGAAGGTTGCCCTAAGGAGGCAGGATGCCCCCTGCAAACCTCCACAAGATGACCCGCATATTTAAATTCCACATGAGCTGCCAGCACAGCCTGGTGTGTGGTGGTGCCAGCTATACCCTGCCTGATGTGCCAAGACCATTACAGCATGGGTCTCACAGGGCTCTTCTCAAGCAGTGCTGTGGCAGTGACTTGCACAGAAACCCCAAACTGCATCAGAAAGTGTGAGATTCCCCAAATTAATGAAGATTACTCCTGCAGAGGAGGTATAGAAAAAGCTTAAATTATCTTCCTAACTCAGCTCAGAAGGAACACCACTGGCTGTTTTTCTGCAGTGGCCCCAGTGTTTAAACTGCCAGCACACCCTCTGAAAACTAATATTTGGACCAGATAGAGCTGTTCTTCATGGCCACTGCAATTCTTTAGTTAATTTTTGGGTACACACATACCATTGCCAGCAGAAGCTGACTAGACTGGTGAATGTCACCCACAATACCCAAACAACCTTGTTTACATTTCTTTACTCATTAACAGAGGTAAGATCTAATAACATATACAACTTTATCTTCCTTTGTGTTACTTAAAGGGGTACAGCTCAAACAGTTCAAAGGGTGTCAGGAGCTCAGCAAGATTTGTGGTCCCTGACAAAGTGACTTCAGAGCTCTAGCAGGCATCTGAGCAAAACACAGATATATTTACAAGACTTGACACTCCTTCAAACACCTACCTGACAGTCACATTTGTAGAAAACCTCTACAAATAGTCCCAGATGAGGGTAATCACATCTCTTACATATGGCTGTTCAGAGTAAACACAGCATCTGCTCATTCTGGACTTCAGGGGAGGAGAGGATGCTTTGTTCAGAGAAATAAATTTGTCATGTGTAGTAGTATAGTGCCTTGAAGCCTAAACAAAATCAAAAGTCCATTGGATTAGGCCCCTTAAGAGATGCATTTACCAAGATTGACTTCTCTTCTGAAGAGAGTAGAAAGAGGACAGGGAAAGGATTCTCGTGCCGATTTTGATGATAGGACTGCAAAGAAGCTAAACAGGAGGGAATCTGTGAGAGCAGTTATGAGCCTCTGTGTGTAGTGATTCAGCCCAGCTTCTTAAACATTTCCATTCAGCAGCCTTGGTGCTCATGGGGGCACTTTGAACCAGCAAGGATCTGAGCTGGTGGCTAACAAGTGGTCTTTCACACACCTGTTCTCCAAACCTGCTTCCACCTACTGCTTTGGAAAAACACATCGTTAGGAGATGCTGGAAAGCAAGCTCCGGCTTTACTTGTGCATTGCTCCTGACTGCCACCAAGGGCATTGCTGTGCTACACCAGCACGTGCTGATCTCTCCACCCATGGACAGACCTTGGGCTCCACCAAACACTAGCAGAGGTCACGTCAAGAAATCCCACCTATCCCCTTGCCCTGAACATCCCAATCACACTGATCCCCTTCTAGCCCCTGTCTCCTGTTCAGTCTTCCCATCTCCTCCACTGACCTTCTTCAAGACTCCTTTTAACCCTTCTAGCCCCTGAACTGCACGCTTTTCACCCACTGAAGTGTACCAAACCAGACACAGATCCTTCCTGTGGTGAGTTCAGTCACCACTGAATTCAAATACTGGATGGTCACTTTGCTCTGTCTCAGCAACCCACACCCAGATACCTCCAGGGATGGCTGAGACAGTCCCAATTTTGGTCTCTTGGTAGCCTGTGCTGACTCAGCTCTGGCCTGGATCCATCCAAGTCACCATACCCCTCTGAGCTCCACTGAACATAGGTTACACCCTATAAACAAATCATAGAATTATGGAATAGTTAGGATTGGAAAGGACCTTAAGATCATCCAGTTCCACCCCCCCTCCCTCCCCCCACCATGGGCAGGGGCACTTCACACTAAAGCATGTCACCCAAGACTCCTTCCATTTGGCCTTGAACACTGCCAGGGATAGAGCATTCACGACTTCTTTGGGCAACCCATTCCAGTGCCTCACCACCCTCACAGTGAAGAACCTCTTCTCTGTATCTAACCTAAACTTCCCCTGTTTAAGTTTGAACCCGTTACCCCTTGTCCTGTCACTACAGTTCCTAATGAAGAGTCCCTCTCCAGCATCCTTGTAGGCGACCTTCAGATACTGGAAGGCTGCTATGAGGTCTCCATGCAGCCTTCTCTTCTCCAGGCTGAACAAGCCCCAACTTTCTCAGCCCGTCTTCATACAGGAGGTGCTCCAGCTCCCTGATCATCCTTGTGGCCTCCTCTGGACTTGCTCCAACAGCTCCATGGCCTTGTTATGTTGTGGCCCCAGAACTGTACACAGTGCTCCAAATGAGGTCTCATGAGAGCAGAGCAGAGGGGCAGGTTCACCTCCTTCACCTGCTGGTCACGCTCCTTTTGATGCAGCTCAGGATACGGTTGACTTTCTGGGCTGCAAGTGACACTGCTGGCTCATGTTAAGTTTCTCATCAACCAACAGCCCCAAGTCCTTCTCTGCAGGGTTGCTCTGAATCTCTTCTCCACTCAACCTGTAGCTGTGCCTGGGATTCCCCCAACCCAGGTGTAGAACCTTGCATTTGGCTTGGTTGAACTTCACACAGGGGAATCTCTGCTTCAGTGCCTGGAGTACCTCCTCTTTCCGGCACTGACCTTAGTGTCTGCAGGACTGTTTATCCCACATATTGTCACTCCTCCCTCCAGCTGCAATTGCTGCTGCACAGTAACTTCCCCCTCCTTCTTAAAGATGTTGGCCCAGAGACACTACCACTGTTACTGGCTTGACCTTGGCAAGCACTAGGTCCATCCTGGAGCCAGCTGGCATTTGCATTATCAGACCTAGGGGAAGCTTCTGGCAGCTTCTCACAGAAGACATTCCTGTAGCTCAGCTACTACCAAAACTTTGCCAAGCAAACCCTATACAATAAGAAATCCCAAACCTTTCCCTGCCTCTGTTCTCCAAAATGCTGTTCTCTTCGAAAGCTGTGCCTCATTCTGCCCATCTTGGCTGTTCTCCTAAGTTTCCTTAAGTCATCATCCCTTTCTGGATGGCAAAGGGGCATAGGAAGGTATGTCTGAAGAGGAAGATGGGGACCTGGCACAGTCTGATGTAAAGAGCCTCACCACTGCCCACTCTGAACTATGATAAGGCCAACCAGGAGACCAGCAATTATTAGCACTCGGGCGCTAGAGTTGCATGATGAAAAAAGTCTTCACTGTCCCTGGCAGTGTTCAAGGCCAGGCTGGATGGGACTTTGAGCAACCTGCTCTAGTGGAAGGTGTCCCTGCCCAAGGCAGAGGGTTGGAATGAGATGATCTTTAAGGTTGCTTCCAACCCAAACCATTCTGTGATTCTATGAAAACCTATCTAAATAAACTGCACACAGCAGACACAAGGCATACATGCTGCCCACGTACATATGGCCTCACCCTCTGTGATTCTACTAGAACCATTATTTTTAGATGCAAGCTAGGACTTAGGTCTGCTAGGATTTGGTGTCCCGTCACACAGTTTTGTCTCAACAGCAGTCATCACCCAGTACACAACAGGAACAAGGAAATTTCCCTCTACTAGGTAGGCAAAGAAATACTTCTCATGTCCTAGGTAAAGTTTCTGTGTACAGTTATGGGGTTGTGAACATTTATTGTTTAGCCTTGCAAACAATTCAAATTCCAGAGACAGGTCACAGTAAAGACTGCCAGTTATTTGTCTTTAGAATGCAGTCCGGTCTGCAAGCTCCTTGCCAAGCACAGTGAATCTCCATTTCATTGTCTAGCTTAGAGTCACTATTCCATCCCTGTGCTGTGAACTCTGATACTCTACTGAAAATGAGCGAAGTCCCTCAAAACAGGTGGAGGGGACAAAACCAGAAATGTACAATAATTAAACAGATTCTCCATTTTATTTCCAATAAAAATTTTAGATCCTAGATGGATACAGCATCTGCAAAACACAAGAACAGATACAATCTTGTTAGAAATCTTGTTACTGGACTCTATCATTTTAAACACAAGTTTTGCAGTTGCAATCTGGATTCTCAATCTCTTCAACTACTATAAAAGTGACACCCTTTCCCCCATTTACACAGAAGAGGTGCAAGAATTGAAAAGTGCAACAACTAGTTCAGTGACTCGAAGTAGCACTTTGGTGACGGTACAGAGTGCCCTGGCAGTCAGGCCTTTTGCTCACAGTAAGCAAGAGTCCTCATGAGTCTAGTTTCAGGATTTAACTGTACCACTCCTCCTCCCAAGGCACAGGAGAGTCAGAACAGAAGGATGGAAGAATTGCACCCCGATACTCCTTTGACAACATCACTAGAAGAATACTGCATCAAAACTCAGTGAGGGGCCTAAAGGGACAGTCTCACTGAAGCCTTGTGGCTAAAACACCAACTGTGGAGCAGGTACTAGTGGTCATGCCAGGACAGCACCCTCTAAGTTCAAATACTGGGGAGGCAGGAGAAAACAAATCTATAAATGGGTAGAAATCAGAGTAGAAGGGGGCAAAAGTACACAATCTAGGGAAAAAAAAAAAATCAAGATAGCTTTAGAAGGGAGCAGAGGAAGAGTCCTGGAAGCTGAAAAGCCTTTCGAGACAAGCTGAGCCAGCACACAAAACCCTTGACAATGAGACAAATACCCTCAGCACAAGAAGCCACCAATAAACCCCTCCTAGCTCCAAAAGGAGCATTTACCGAAGAGCCATGCTGAATGCACAACAGCAACAGAACAAAACCATAGTTCAAGTTTTCCCTCATATTAAGTGGGATGAAAAGGCTCCCTGAAATCTGCTACTAAATATCTTGTTGCTGAAATAAATCCACTTACCACTCGGATTCTGTGTCCAATGGCCTTGGCAGGAAGGTTGGAGCGGAACTTGGCACGAACCATGCCACTGTTCCCATGGGCGCGGGTTACCTTCCCCCAGATCACTCGTGTCCTGTTAGGTTTCCCACCGGGGGTTACGGTGTTGCTAAGGAAAGAGGAAAAGCTCTGCTGAGCAGGCCAGCCACAGCGCCCTATTGGGCTCTGCAGTGACAGGGCAGACAATGTGGCCTTGTTAATGCACTTCGGTAACTTTATTCCACAATCATTTTTAAGCAGACCGCATGTCACTTTTATTTGCCTGTGAAATTTCCCAAGCCTGGGAATTTCACTATCCTTTCCAAACAGCTACATACTGCAGCTTGTAATCTATCAGAAGCTCCACTGGAGAACTATTAAGTTACGAAGCTTAAGAATTTGTAAAATGCTGATGCCAATAATATGATCAAACCAAAAAATCAAGAGTTTTCCAAAGAAAATGCAACATCTTATTTGTACTATTTACCCAGACACACCAAAGGCAGGAGAGGCCTAAGCCATTGGAATAGACTGCAAAAAACTGGTTTAAAGAAGCCATACGCCATCTTGGAAATGATGGTGGTCAGGTTAACACTTCAATAAATTTTATTCAAAGCAATTCTGAACTCCCATATCTGAACTCCAAAAAATACACTCCCAAGAAAAAAATAAGTGGAAAATATTAAGTAACTGTTCTTAAAGGCTTCCACCAATGCTAGCACAGCAGTGACAGTACTCTGATATGGGCACACAAATGCCATGATACAAATTCCTCCAGGTCTCACAAAATAATTCTGCCATTTAATTAACTCAAGAGCTCACAGCACCCACCTCCAACTCACCTCACTTCAATCTACTTCATCAACCCACCTTCAGCATTTGCCAATCTCAAGCAAAATTTGTTTTTCATAATTCCATTATCTGAATTAAGCCAGTCAAAGCAAAAACAACTCCAGACATTAAGAACAAAACCAACTCAGGAAACTGCTCTACACAGTACTCCATGAACACTACTGATAAACTGAACCCAATTTATTTTTGTTCTGACAAAAACTCTGTAAGCAGACTGCTCACATGCTGGCATTTCCAAAAGCTGATACAGGAGCTAGCTAAATTAGCATAACAATAAAAAGCAACTTACTTTTTAGCTTTGTATACATAGGCACATCTCTTGCCCAAGTAGAAGTCTGTCTCCTGACGGGCATAAACACCTTCAATTTTCAGCAGGGCAGTGTGCTCCCGCTGGTTTCGGAGGCCACGTTTGTAGCCAGCAAAGATGGCCTTGCACCACAGCCTAGAGACATTGAAAGCATTTGCAAATTAGAATTCACACCGAAGTATCAAATACAAAAATCGCGTGCTGTTTCAGCAGAAGCTATTTCTACAGCAATAAAAATTCAGCCAAGGAAAAGCACCACTACTTTTACATATTACTGCAGATCCCTACATTCAGTCAAGAGAGAAAAGCCAAGTAACTCAGACACAAAGTATTTCTGAAAAGTCTGTATCTTTCTGCTTGTTACAAATTTCTGGCACTGCAGGCTGCATATTAAACCCATAGTGCTTCAACATCAGTAGGTGTTATGTTTTCAAATGTCTACAAACACTCTGTGGTGAGTAAACTTCTTTTCTATACACCACAAACTGTGCTTCCTGTGTTGCAATAACTGCTGTACAAAATAGTAACTGCTGCTAATTTGTAGTCTCAAAGGACTTAACTGCAGCTTATCAGGACAGCTCCACATGCTCTGGACCAGTGACATTACACAAACTCCTCAGCAATTCTTCATGACAAAGACGTGTCTGTACTGTGCAGGTAAAGCAATTACAAGGCTCATTCCACACATCATGTATGCAGTGTGACTGTCTCAACTGCGTCCAGCAACTGTCCCATAACACAGTAGTAGTAAACCAAGCTACCTAGTTCGACCTCCTACACATGCATGAGAGAAGATGAACTCTACAGATAAATATTAAGACAAAAACTTATGATTCAGACTCAATCCCTACATCCATAGCAAGTAGCGCAGTTATGCAAGGAAGCAATATGCCAAAGCCTCCACTGTACACTGGCGGGTTACAAACGCTGTGCTAACAAAGCCACCATTAATACTACACATCTACTGTCAGGCCAGGAAAGCGTGGCAGAACATATGAGCAGCTACAACTACATACGAACTACTACAGCTAGTTTAAGGCAGAGACTTCAAAACAGGGAAGCACAACCGTGGGTGTTCAAGAGAGCTCAGCAGGATACTGGGCAGAAGAGCTGCCGCAGGAAAACGGATTCTTGCACACAGCTTTAACGCTCAGAAATGCTCACTCTGCAAGACTTGTCAGAAGCACAGTGTACAGCGAGCCAAAAGCCATCTGGGGGTAGGTAACTCACCTCCCGGTCATGGTGTCCTCCTGAAGCCCTGGTCCCAGCAGGCCTAGAAACGACACACAAGCCATGAGCCTTCCAGGCCGGTAGCTCTCTCCTGCCGAGCGAGCGGGAGCTGCCGCAGGCCCGGTCCGGGGTCAGAACATTCCGGCAGCCGGGAGCCACCCAGAACAAAGCGACAAGGGCTGCCAGAGCACCCAGTTCGGGCTCCGCTTCGCGGAGGAGTTAAGGAGACCCCTCCGCTTCCCCACAGAAGGGGACGTTCCAGTCGCCCCAGCCCGTATCAGCTACGAGCCCCAAACGTACGGCCGGGACCATCCGCCGCACATCGCCGCCATCCCGCCCTCTACCCGCTCCGCACGGCGCCAGCCTCAACACCCCAGGAATGCCGCGCCCGCCGGCGGTGCCATGGCGGTGCCATGGCGGGGCCACCTCCCTCCCGCCCTTCACCCCGCGCCGCCACTCATCAACTCACCCCCACGGCGACGAACCAATATGGCGGCAAAAGAGAGAGCTGCCGCGCTGCCTTCCGGGATGTGGGCTGGGAAGGACCCTCTTCGAGCGGCCGCGAGCACTGCCTGACAGGGCGAAACAGAGGCGACCCGGCGGGGTAAGTACATCGGGCCCCCGCGCCATCCCTCGCCGCATCCCCCCGGTCCCCTTACTCCCCCGGCTGGGGATCCGGGGAGGGACGGCCCCAGCCCCGCCGCGCAGGCATCCGCCTGGGCAACCCGTCGAGGCCCCCGGAGCGTGGTGGTTGTCGTGGAGACGGGCGCCGCCGATACTGCGTGTCAGTGAGCGCCGCAGCGGGTCGGGGCTGGGCACAGCACCGGCAGTGAGCGGTTGCCTGGGGTAGGAGGGGAGCTGGTAGTGTATCGCGGCGCGGAGGGGGAGGGGAGGCTTGGCAGGACGAACGGGGCCGCAGCCCGGCTGTGAGAACCGCCTGCGGCGGTAGAACAAGCGGAGGAGCCCTGCGAGAGGGCAGCTAGGAGGTGAAGTTGGAGTGCTTGGTGCTTCTGAGATGGCCAGGGCTCTGGGGCCCTCTTCTGATGGCTGCTTTCCGGGCCCTGCCCATCTGCCTCCCTTCTTACCTTAAACTGAATCATCTCAACATTTATTTCACTCTCGATATCACCCTGGGGACGCAAAACATGTATTTCTACGCTCGGATCACTGCAGAAATACATGTTTTCTATTACCCGTTTTCCCATGTTAGGGCCATTCACTCCTGATCACTGTCACTTCTCTCACCTAGCCAGAAACGCGAGGGAAATGCACCCGACTGGTTAGACTTTCACTGTTACTTTGTTCCTAAGTGTCTTAAGCTGCATCTGAACATGTGTCCAGGCTGCCCTTGGGGGGGGGGGAAGGAAAAAGGATCTCAGTAGTCTACTATTGTCTTGTCACCAGGTGGGCTTAGAGAGCTTGAACCTGGACTAAGGAATTAAATCCTGATCCAGGAGGAGAATCAAGTCTATTTGTGCATTGTTGGGCCAGGGCAGAAGCACACAATGCCTTGCAAGCAGGTATAAGCAGAGGTTTTTCTTAGAGATTAAATTGTTAGGAAGTAGGAGCAGAGAAGGGATGGAATATTATGCATTCTCCAAATTACTCAGTTGGCTTCTGCTTTAAGGAAGAAGTAGAAAGCAAAGCAGTGCTCAGTATTCTATCTAGTTATCAGTACCAAATGTGTGCTAGTCACCTCTGCTTAGAAGAAGAACACGGTCCCTTCTTTGAGGAGAATGAACTATCTGTCAAAACACTGTTTCCCAGCAGTACACATCCACAGTCGATAAATGCTCCCTAAATCTTATCTTTTCCTGTCCCACACCAATCTAGTCCCATATGGGACATACAGCTAAAAGCAGCACCACATCTTTCATTCCTGCACTCAGTTCTCCAGGGTTCTCATTAGTGCAGCCTCAGAGAGCAGGAGTGGAAATTCTTTACAGTCAGGATGAAAACTAAATTGCATCTCTAAGCCAAATCCAAGATATGTTCTAACATTTATAGTGGTAGGCAGGGTTTTGAAAGACCAGAACTATTTTACTTGCCTAAGAGACATTTTTTTTTTTTTTTTTGTAAAAACTAAGGTATTTCTGATTTATGGCCCAGCTACTGCCCCTATGGATATTTGAATCTCTCTTTGCCAATCATTTGCAAAACAGAGCTGAAGGAGATGTAACATTCTCAGCTTCAAATTATCCCACTGGAATCCTTAATTGACTAAAAGAAATCCTGCCTTTGAATCCATTTTAGTCTAATAGGCAGCAGGATGGGAGAAACATGCATCCAGGACTCTCACACAGCAGAGGGAGTTGCAATCCCCAAAGGAACAGGAGGCCAGACTTTTTATACAGTTGTTTTAAAAATTATTTCTCAACATGTTTTTCTTTCCCTTTAGTTCAGCAGGGAAAGAATTTCAACCTAAACTCTTGGGGAAAACTGAATCCTTCACATACCTCCTTTTTTATTATTATTAATAGAGTTTAATGAACAAGTTCGGCAAAGCAAAATGATTAAAGCCAGTGCCAATGGCTACATCAGGATGCTCTGAGACTGCAGTAATGGTAAAATCCTGGGAAAGCAGCTCACTATTTGTACCGTTTCTTAATGCTCCAGACAGTTGTTTCCTTCTCATTTCCAAGTCAACGTAAGTCCAGAGTGTACTGGCTTGGCACATGCATCTTCTGAGGGAGTGTATGATTATAAGAGGAGATACATAGGAGGAGCAAACCAGCAGGCTTTAGAGAGACATTCCAGCTGTGAGTTCTTTTAACATATATTAATATCTTGAGTAAATTCTGTCCTGGACAGAAGCTGTTGATGGAATAGAGGAGAAGCTATTGTATCCTCCTTTGTTTCCAATTAAGTTGCTTTTTCCTATAAAAGCTGTGAGCATTACTTCTTTCAAGACTGCTGTTGTAATCATCTGTCACAGCTATCTCACAACAAATTTTTTTTGGGGGGTTATATTTTTAGCATTAGGACTCCACATGTAATAGATTATTTTTATGTTGTTTAGACTCAAAACATGGATTGTAGATTTCTTAAAAAGATAAAACCAAGTTAAACATTTGAAAATATTTTATTAGTGTCTGCTGACTGGAAAAAAACATTGTTTGACTTTCTCTACGTAAAGATACTTAATTTGCACATCTCCACTTCTATCACTGAATCCACGGTTGAAAAGAAAGGAAAAGTGATGTTTTGGGTTTGGAGGAATTGTCTAATGGCTTACCAAAACATTAAAAATCTCAAAATTTCTCTGTTGTTTATGCAGGTGTTTTATTATACATTTTCCTAAATGGGTCAATTTTGCCTGGACTAATAGTGAATTTCTACCATTCCTAGAAGCACTTTCACAATATTCCATGTGTAAGCAAGACAAAGTGATACTAAGACATACATCACAGCAGTTTCACATTTGAAATGCAACTTAAAACAACACAGAATGTTAAAGATAGTTTACTTAGTCCAGATACTGATTCTTGTTTGACTTTCAAGACCTTAAGTTGATGACAGTTCCTGCTGAGGAGATTTGCATCAAAAGTGTTAAAAGCTACACAGTAATACTGAGGAAAGATTAGAGCATGCAGGTTCATCATCTGAGATCTTATAAAATGTGGATTTATTTTTCTGCCTTTTAAAAAGGCACCTTCATTCCATTGTTTTGCAAAGAATAAAGTCCATCATGAAACACTGCTCCCACCTGAACTGAATGGTGAGGCCACCTCACCCAGTTTGTGCCTCCCTTATCCATTCCCTCCTCAGCCTATCTATCCAGATCTACTGTAGGAGGGACTAGGCCCTACTTTGTTTTGTGAAAGCTAAACATTCCCACTGTCCCTGAATACAACCATTAGCAGAGCATGGCTCCTTCTATAAACAGTATATGACAGAGTATAAACAAAGCTAAGGAAGTATATGAAAGGCTGCAAATAAGGCTATTTCAGGTCTACCTTTACTGTTGCTAACACCATAGCCTCTTTCTCATTAGTGTCTTTTGTCTTTGTTCCTCTTAGCAAGAACACAGAGACTAAAGAAATGGAAAAACTCACTCATCTGGAAGCTCTGCTGTTTACTGATGTGCTGGAGACTTGTGTTGATCAGCTCTCAATTCTTGGATATATTATGCCAGTTTCATATGAGGGCCAGAAGACAGACCTTGGCCATGTACGTGCCTTTATCCTGCCTGCTTTAAAAAATACCTTTTTTTCACCTTTTTTTTTCTTGTCTTAGTGTTATGTCTTCTACCAGCATTAAAAAAAAAAGAAATCAACTCAGATATTTTCTCTGCTAAGTGTCCCATGACCCTTGGGTGGAGCAACACATTCAAAATGCATGGATGAAAAATTTAATATTTATACTGCAGCATCACTGAGAAGCCTTTGTCCAGACTTGGTGCAAAGGACCTCACTGACATAAGATGAGGTTCCTGGGCTTATAATTTTAAAATCTCAGTGGTCAGATGACAAGCAAAGGATTAAGGAAAAGGAGGCAAAACATAACTATGTTCTTATGCAGATACACAACTATCTTAAAAATACAAACTAATAGCACATTTGAAAGTACTCAAACCCAGGGTAATTCTGTTCCTCTCTAAATCCACATCAAAGTTCCTCTACTCCTCACAGACAGTGAATTAAAACAGATTCTACTTCAAAATATGTTAGTAACTATCCATTCTCAATGACCATTTTTAACTAGTTGATTTCTAATAGGCATCATAACTAAGAGGGTTTGGGCAGAGAGATAAGGATCAGAAAAGAAGTCCTAATGTCCAGGCACAAGTTTGTTGCTTGTGGAGGAAGGGGTTGTGATATTTCTGGTAGCTGATAGACATAAGAAACAGGATGGAACCATCTGGAGGGGTAAATGGTTCCAAGTTCTGTTGTGATATATTTGAAGTGACATTGCTGGCTGTTTACAATTTAAGCAGTTTGAAACCCTTTTTTTTTTAAGAGGAACTCAGAAAAGTGGGTGACCAGGATGGAAATAAAAACTGGGATCTGAGTTTTCAGATCTCATACTATTCGCTCTGTCTAA